ACTAATTTACCAATTGAGTTGCATTTCTTACATATTAAATATTATATAATTAAAATATTTCTTGTTTTATATGTTCAATATGATACTTATATATTATATTAAAAAAACTAATATAGTAAATAAAAAAGTTATTTAAAATTAGGATAATAAAGATTTTTTTTTTCTAATCTACATGGATAAATGTACAAATAACTATTGTCTATCACCTCAAATTTACACATAAAATTAATAAGAACAAAAAACTAACAAGCGTATAACAACTCAGTTCAATTACATTGAAAAGTATATTTTTAGAATGTTTATATTTAGGTATATTAGTTATATTTTTTTGTTTATTAGTTTGTTTTATATTTATTAGTACGTGTCACAACTTAGTTATTATTCATATTATTTCTTATATTTAATATATTTTTAAAACTTTATCTTGTTCTTCCACATGTTTTTAACTTTAGATTTGTCAAAAAAAAGACATAATATAAAGTATAGAATTTTTTCGATCATCTGTCTCATTATATATCAAATATTGGTATATCTATATTATTTTATATTTAATTACAATTATAATTAATATTTTAAATAAATATTTACAATTCATAATTTCATTAATGATATTGTCGAGTCAACTTTTGTTCATAAAATTTCTAAAAATAAATTATTTTCATTGATTTGCTTATGTTGAATTGAGATTTTTTTTTTTTTTAATTGTAACTGTATTGATGTGCTAAACATGTATTACAGATGAGAAAGATGACAAATTATGAAAAATATAATCTATAAATTATAATGGCATTATGTTATTTTAATGGTATACTTTTTCTATTAACTAAATAATGCCTCAAGTGTGAAATTATTTTGTATCCACCACTGCAGGTAGATTTCGAATAGAACTTCCATTGAAATTTTTATAATTTCAGTGACATTTTTTTCAACTGTTGGAAAATTAAATTGACACAAGAATAAATAATGTAATTTGATCTCTGTTGAAATAGTCAATGAAATTTTACAATGACAGCTATACAAATAAAATATCATTTAGAAATTCCAGTTAATGTCTTACCTTGATGTCATTGGGAAAAAAAAGTTAATGTCTTACCGTTGGATTTTTCATTGCAATGTACCATTTTTTTATTCCTTTATATATTATAATTTTTATTAGGAGTTTTTGTTATTAATTAATTGTATTTATAATTTTTATATTAATAATATATTAAACAAGTGAA